ATGGGGCGTCACAGCAACTTAGTGCGACCATATCAAGCACCAATCGGCTTTGTAGAAGAAAGCAAAAAACGCTTTTCGTGCAAGTGACTATTGCATTTAACAGCCCAGTCATAGTGCCGAGTGCCTGATCAGAACCTGTCTAGACAGGCAAACCAAAATTATGCAACATTCATCAGTGACTGTAGTCAGTCCATGAAAACTTTATGAAATAACTTGGAGAAGCGGTTTCTGAATGAATGCTTTTAAAGTTTCGGAAAATTGGAGAGGCCCTAAATCCTAGTGACACGAAGAAAACCAGCAACGCCATGGAAAGCGGAATCAAGAAAGACTCGGCTTCCAAGGTTACAATGCTGGGACGTTCAATACATCTTAGCGAGCCATGATGTTTCCACCCAGTTTGTTTTAGCAAACGATATTCAAGGCTTAGACAAAACCTGCGAGATTATTAGGGATAGAACACATAAGTCTAAAAAACTTTTGATTTAGTGACTGCACGAAAAACAGCATGTCGGATGTATTCGTGTTGAAACAATTTCGATTGATTTTGGACAAGATCCAGTGAGCGTTATCTTCGAAGAAGATCACTATATGTGTAATATGTTGTTCGTCTTGATGGCCTGCATTTTTGTACACTTCCCTACTGCCCTGCCCAAAAACGCTCCCTTTCGTTCAACATGACCTTTTGTGTATGCATATTCAGAGTACTACATTTTGTGTGTCTCTTTCATGGACTACCAACTGCTTAAGGCGACAAGTTGCGTTGATTGTTGGAGTAGATAACTTCCTTTTGTTTATGACTGGTTTGGTAATTTGCATACACTTGGGAGAAAAATTAAACGAAAGTGTTATGCGAAAACCGTGGGTTAATACATTTTTCCAAAAAGTAAATGTAGTAGGAGACAGCAGAATTTACCAGGTATAATTCAGAAAACTAGATTTACGAGCATGGGTACTTGAGGTTTCCGCAAGGGACAGAGGGCTTTCAAAAATCCATATTTTAAAGACAAATCCCTACATAACCATGCTATGAAATGGGCACAGCCTCAGGTATCCTGACATTGTGAATGCAGGTTGCTCTAGTTTCCCGACTGATGTAATTTCGATTTTTTATCTGTTTGTGAGGCCTACTTCTATAATACTGAAGGGCAGAGTAGAATTTCACAGTTGTTTTACCGTGCGAGGCGTCATTAATATAGCTATCTTTTCGAAACTGGAGGACAACCAACCCGATAATTCCATCAGAATCGCTTTGAAATTTTATCTTCGGGTTAATTTCAACATCGGATGTTACACCACCCATGACTTATTCGCACAGCTAATGATCTATTGTTGATGATTTCCGATAGAATGCCGGTTCACGTAGAACATAAGGTTGACGGAAACTCGGGCACTGCGCCTACCTGATGAGATGCCCCAAGAAGGGCGAAACCGGTCGTGGGCTGCCGAAGGGTTTTCAGCAACCTTGTGAGTAGTTTCCTTTATGAGAATGCCGTGCTACTTGTCATGCACGGATTACCCATGCCGGCGTACTAGTCAAGCACAAACTCAATCAACCGCTCGTAACGGAGTGATTAAATTATATTCGTAAGTTTCAGCAAAGTTGAGACTATGAACAAAATACCTATCCCGCAAAACCCCAAAACTGAAAAGTTGAGACAAATGTGTAGTGACCTCCGGCTTTGCAGGACCTCAGGACCATACTCCCATCAGCCACTGGAGGCAGATGCTGTGGTGACACAGGTTTACTGCGTGGCTGAATCATGGAAACAGTAGTTTTAACAGATCCCAGCCCGAATCAACTGTTCCGTTAAGACGTAGGATAATAAGTTATTTTGTCAGTTTTTATCTGGATGTCAGTGAGGCGTCGCGTGTCTGACGAGCAGTGAGAGATGGTTGGAGCCGGTAAGTTCATGGTGTCATCATACATACCCTGTTGATCATTATTATCATTTTCGGAAGATGGACCTTCGATTCTGTGGTGATAAAATGTTACAAACACAGAGATCGCAGATACATAAATGTTGCCATGTGCACCCCCACCATATTATTTATGACAATTTTACTAGTTAGAGTATTTTGCAAGCATAAATTCTGTCCTAAGAACATTCCCTAGGTTATTCGCGTCATATTGTCATGTATTCTTTAACCAGCTCAGTAGCACAACACCTAGCGTGCGGACACGGCGCACGTGATACCCAGCCGAAGGTATCGCTTTGTTTACAAGGCGCCAGCTAATCAACCCAGATCAGTACAGCAACGCACAATCGCAGTGGCCGAAGCTATCGCCATACGACATCGCTATCCGATCCTTTGTCGGCAAAAACGCTTTGTTCGTGTTCGTAATGCACTACCCATAAGGTTGCTGAAAGTCGTTCGACAGCCCACGACCAGTCTCGCCATTCTTGGGGCTTATCAGATATGCGCAGTGCCCGAGTTTCCGTCAACTTTATGTTCAACCTGAAACCAAATTGGGCGAAATTAGCGAAATACACTGATTTGCAAAATGAAAACTGAGGCGGCCTAGTGCAGCACATTCGGTTACTTGGAAACATCACAAACGAGAGATTCATCTGGGTTCCAAGTGAGTTTCTCACAAAACCAAATTAGTTTGTAAGTGAGTCTATTTTGCTAACTTTGTTCGTGCGTTGTACTTGACATGGTCCAGCTCACCTCCCTCCACCCTTACACGCTGAGCTGAACACACAACTACAGCACACTGTCTGCGCCGACAAACTCAAGTCACCTTATTGGTAACCTGAATGTCCTTTGACTTTGATAAGTATCGACTGTCGTCTCTCACTCGATTTACTGTCCATGTAAACCATGCTCATTCAAATATGTTAAATACTGTTCTCTTGACGTTTGCAACTGTATAATTTGAAAAAGACCTTGCCGAGAACATATTCGTCAACCCATCTTATTATAAATGGGAATTTTTGGAACATTCTTTAACCTAAAGTCACTATTCCACCACAAATTAAATAGTTTCGGCCTAGATTATATGTTCCCTTACAAGTCTACTGATAAAAGCAGAGTGTAAAACAGATTTGTAGTTATGTACAAGAGTCGCTAACATATGTAACGCCGAGTTATACTTTGATCCACTACCAATATAGATTCCGAGCTTGTATCCCGTCTGTGATATGATACGGAAACAGAAGTCGCAAAAGAGGCCGGCATCAGCCGTTTTCCTAGTGTTTTGAGTGACAAGTGATGGTTGTTGGATATGGCGGGAAAATACGGCATCCATGGTGTTGTTTGAACAAGAACACAGTGACAAACACTAATGTTTTCGGGATCTCGTCATCAGGTCAGTCCATATCTAATGGTTTAAATAGGAGCGAAAAATGAAATACGCAGCGAAGATTGGTTAGTGAAGTGCAAGACTGGTTATCTGCGCCCCCATATCGCATCTAGTTGTGTGGTGTGAGACAGTCTAGAGGGCCGTTGAGTGAATTGGCGGGCTAATTCGTGCCACACGACCAAGGTAGACTCATCGTCCGTACGAAACTTTTTTAGCAGCAGGGCACCGGGTTTCACAGGTGTACAGCGACTGCCTCGGCTGGATGGATACTGGCAATTTATTGGGTAAATGAAATTAAATGGCTCATTTGGAATGAATACGTGCCTGGTATCAATTGAGTGGGACACAATTAAACTTTTGGCTGAATTGTTGAATCTAATAGTATTCACGTATTCTCTTAAAAGTTGCCGTATCGAGCGCCCAACATACTCCGTTGAACAATGACAGGAGAAAGAATACACACTCATATTGTGGGTGGGGACTGGCATCTTGTCTTTGAGGTTTAAGTTGAGCATAGGATTTGTGGTGAACCAAGACCACAGAGTTCCAGCCGGTAACGTGCGTTGTAGAGATTGAAACAAGCGGCGATTGACTTTGTCCACTAAAAGATCGCCTTTGTGCGGTAAACTCGGGTATGTTGGCTTCTTTCCAACAGTCGTGATGGGTGGTTGGATAGGGCGATCGGACATATTCTTGGTTATAAATCTCTCCGGGGAACCTTTGGCTCGGAGCACGCTAGCAATGTGCTGTAGTTCAGAATCCAGTGTATAAGCAGAGCTAATACGCCTTGCTTGGTTAGCTAAAGTGAGAATCAGAGTTTGTTTCCGCCTCAGTTGCACAAAACTAAAGAAGTTTGTTTACTGTCACGCTTACGTGGGTTTTCCGTAGACAGACCTCTGAATTGAACCCGTGGAAAGTTTAACTCAACATCCAGGATGTAGAAAGCGTTGTCTTCACGGGAGTGAGTTGGGAAACTGATGGATTGTTATTGATCCCAACTGCTTCACTGTGGTCGAGAATGGGTACAAAATATATTGGTCTGTCCTGATTCCTTTGGAAGGTCTTGCAGAGATATCTTACTAAAGTGGTTCCTAATGCGAATGCTTCATCAGTTATTTTTTCTTCGTGGAAGCGTTTTCACTAAAGTGGAGTCGACGTCGACTCGTGAATCTTTGACTGAGCCAACGATTCACTGGATGTTGACCCAGTGAAATCTGCTAAACTTTCAGTTAAAGCAATCCAGGGACAAATAATGGTGACAAGTGAATGACACTCATTAGATGCTATAGAACACAGCTTCTATAGTCCACTGTTCAGATTATCAGATAACTCAACTCTACCAACCCCAAGTTTGCCCAATCTACTTATAAAAATGTGAGATGAATTTGACGACAAGAGGCGCCTTGTCGCACACTGAAAGACCTGAAAGTCGATGCAGGCGCGACCGCACGTTCCAACACTATGTGGAGTAAAATTGCACAATCAAGACCACAAGATCACACACAACCCCCATCCCCTACATTGGGCTGACGTCTTTTGCTAACTAAGAATGCAAATAAAGTCAGAACCACGGAGAACGGACTGGTGTATTCAGAATAACAGTATAAGCTAGAGAATCTAGTGCCTTACTCATACATGGGTGTTGCATGTCCTCTTTTCTGGGCTTCAAAAAAGTGAATTACTAAGTGAAACTCACCTTTAATTTTAGTGCCTCGATTTCCAAGAGTAACACACATATAACAAGCAGTCCGTCAAGGCAACACAAAATCACAATAGTCAAATGAAATACTTTAGAACTGAATAAATGCGCCAATTTGATTTTGCAGCCTGCGCAAAAATCTTTTGAAATGGACTCCTCATACTGCACAAGCTGAAGTTTACACGCATTTGCTTCACTGTCATCCTCCTGTCCTTCTGTGGTCTCGTAGACTCTCACGGACATGTACGGGTCCTTGGCAAGTAAGTAGAGGAAAGTATGAGTTTGTTCAGCTAAATCTGTAAAGTGTAAGTTGATTAATTCAGGACTGAGAGGTACACAACATTGCCTATAACCATCGCACTGACATCCCCATACCAACCAATCGGTTTCTTGCCGATCACGTGACCAACGGCAGGAAAACGCCGTAAACTAAATGCGACTTGTCCACAGAAGCGAAAGAAGAGGATATAGTTCGGTGCGAAATTAGACCAATGGTAGCCGTAGTCGATTATCTCCAATATCGGCATGAATTATCTATGTCTGATTCAGTTGTTTCATGGGTGGATTCTGTAACACTAGCGCTGAAAAAGTAAAATATGGCCCTTGCAGCAATCAATCGGAAGGATGTACATGAACGCACTGGGTGCACAGGGTTCGTCCATTCTTAACTACTAAAATCAATGGGTGTTGGAATTAGGAAAAAACAAAGTGCATCCATTGCCATTGATGTTAATGTTTGATTTGAAAACACAAATCACGGAAAGTTACCTTGTCCGGAATGAAAAAATAACCCTGCGTTTCTTTACACACCTTAGTTTATTTCGGATAATCTAGCTTGATTAGAGTCCCATTGCTCAGACAAAAAAGTGTTGAGGCGGTATTTCTGGTAGAATGGACAAGTCAATGAGGGAAAAGTAAAAAGAGACCCTGAACGGGTGCTCCATGATTGACAATCTGAAGGTTTCATAAAGTGGCATGTGCTCGCTAGTCACGAATGATCACTTGTGAAAAGGTTGGAAAATTGTGACACAGAGAAAGACAGTAGTAATAAATAATTTATAGACGTGATACACTGCACACCAGGTTGCTGAAATTCTTCCACAGCCCACGACCGGTTTCGCCCTTCCTGGGACTCATCAGATAGACGCAATCACCGAGTTTCCGTCAACCTTATGTTCTACTTTGAGCCAAAGTGCACGAACTTAGCGAAATACACTCATGTGCAAGCTAATTTGGTTTTGCGAGACACACCGGGAACCTAGCTGAATCTCTCGTATGTGATGTTTCCAAGGTTGACAGAAACCCGAATCGGAGCCTACCTCATGAGCCCCAAAAAGTACAAACCGGTCGTGGGTTGTCGAGGAAGTTTCAGCAACCTAATGAGTAGTGTAATACGCCTATACATGTATCGCGATATCTCGAATATCGTACCAAATGAAACATGAGGCAGCCTGGTGCAGCACATTCAGTTGCTTGAGAATTTCGCAAACAAGAGGTTCAGCTGGGCTCCAGGTGGGTCTCTGGTGAAACCAAATTTGTCTGCAAATATTAAATCACATTTTTCTAGTCACCAGGGTACACATAGTTGTTATTCACATGTTTTTTCTCTTCGGGAGCGCTTTTTGACTAACTTATTGCATATCTTTTAATAAAGGACAAGCATTCTGAAGTTTAATTTACAAAATAAATCCAAAACACAAGTATGACTTCCTTTATGTCCATCCAGCTTTTATACAACTTCAATCATGAATCTTTAGGAAGGTAATGTGAAGATTTATTGATCCCCATTTCAGACATGGAAATCCGGCTTTTCTAAACTCCTGAGGCAGTCTTATTTTTTAATAAATGACAGAACACAAGTAGAACGCTTTCTTGGGTCGCAGGCAGTGAATACATTTAGGAAAATGCTCTTGATCAACCGATCTTCGTGTTTCTGATAGTCAGTCATGAAATTTATTCTCCATCTTGTGTACACTCTAACTTCAGTGTCTAAGGAATGCATGGACTGAGCACAACAACTGAACACACCCTGCAGCTGAGTATGATCAGCGTCACGTGATGTTGCTGTCAAAAGTAAAAGAGTGAACTGATTGACCTGGATAAATTCATCCAGTTAACTCCAACCGGAACGACACGCATGGTGGTATGCCTTACAAGGCGGGCTACATTCATCCCTTATGATCGATACGTTCACATCAAAACCGGGAATAGCGCTCGTCCTCGAATCTTTATCAAGGTTCTCGTACGGGTTGCTGATAACCACTAAAATATTTTGAAAAACAATGATACTTCATGGTTAATGGCACTCCACGGGCGTATCATATAATATGAAACAGAAAGAAATGGCTAACTCTGTAAAGAGTATGTTACTTGAAATTATATTAAAAATTTTCCGATATTTCCACAAAACGTACCTTATTGTTGGATATCAAGCCGTCTGAAACGTAAAAAAGCCTGTGCGTGAAAAAATTCATTAAATGACACTGAACTGAATAGTTCCTTCAAGGGACTTACGCTACTCACGAGTCATTATTGAGTCGGCTTTCAACTTCACAAAAATAAGAACAAAAGAAAAACAAACATACATCAAGAATGACAGTGCTCTGTCCTTCATGTGGTTGCTGACCTCGTGAATAGACACGAAACAAGCGGTTGTATTAATTAATAGTAACCCGATTTTGATGAACAGAAACCAGCTGGTTCTGTTCCTCTCCAATCAGGTTACTGATCGCTCAGAGCTGCTCAAAAGAAAACAGCCTCGGCTGTAGTTTTTTTTCAAACACGGATGCAAACATCCGGACGTTGTCTGGGAAAGAAAGATTAAAAATGTTAAAAATGCCGCGATTAGTATGCCATATTGTCAATTTATGCAGTTCGAGTGTTTCAATGACCCCTTTCCTCCGAATTCGCAACACAGGTCATCTGCAGGTTTCTTCAAAAACACGCAAATTTGTCCCAGATAATTTTACTAGTTGTAGTCCTCTCACGTTTCGCATTTATCCAAATTCTCGCCTAGCGAAAGGACGTGTACTTGTCCTTGTGTCTTCGGTGGCTCTTCGACTACCGTGTAAAAACATCAAGAAATACAGTACTTCCACCTTCATCATTTAGTCGACTTGAAGAAGATTCAAAGTTCATTTTGGTTTTCCATCGGGGTGCCCGGAATGCAGCTTGAATTCTGGTTTTGAACTGCGCAGTTGATGATATTGCAGAAAGCAAAGTGTGAACAGATAATTGAATGCTAAGTATATGACAGAGACTGGAAATTTCACCTAAAGTTTATGCGGCGTCAACTCACGGGTCGGTTCGTAGCTAATGAGATTGATTGATGAGAATGATTGATGGGAATATGTTTATTTGTTATCCAATCATATATTCTTCACCTGACTGTTATTTCATCTACTGCCTTCCATTGGCTGCCAAGAGGTATTTTGTTTTCGGTGCAGTGAGCTCAAAGTTTTCTGAAATCCCTTAGAGCGTAGTCGAGTACAGCAGATGTCTACACGGATTATAAGAAAAACATGGAATTTACTGAGAGGTCCAAGTAGGTTGGCCTTTCGTGGAAAAAATGCGAGCTTAAGAGCAGAGTTGTGTAATTCGACCATCGTGAATTACCTTGTGGTACGAAGCAAAACCAGACGGACTAACAAAACAGAAAAGAAACAAGGATCGACAAGTATCTATGGATGTAGATTAATGATTCAAGGGGTTACTTGACTAGCCATGTTCCACTCATCAAACTCGGATCGAAACCTATTCAGTTTTTGGCTTCCACATACAAAAATCTCAAAAACATTCGGATCGATAGACCGAGTACTATCGTCCATGTGTTCAACTTTTTCAGTTTTCATGCAGTTAAATTTTCACATGTTTCTCTAAGGCTATTAAAGTGTTGATAATCTCTATTTTTTCTCCTGGCGGTGTGGGTCAAGTGACCTTAAATTTTCTTACAGCTTCCAAAACGAAACGAAACGAAGTGAACTGGAAAACTACAAACTGTGTCAGGAAATGTAGCCAGCGTACGCTAAATTTGCTTTCCGGCAGGAGCGAGAATTCCCTATCAAATGGTTAATGAGGATTAATCGAAATTAGTGAAATTTTGTTCCCCATCCACGACCCATTACCACAAACGGTCTAAGGATGCTCTGAAAATAACTTTTGTTCAGAAAAACAACCGACAGAACGCGAGCTTAGAAAACTTGTTGACCAGTCGAATTTACCTAGTTATCAAATTATTAAAGGAAAAATCCATCCATGAAAGTTCAGTGAAATGGCTTTTGCCACTTCGACGCGTACAATTATGGAGTCAAAATTTTCATACGCCTATTGTACATGTTTATTTCACGCTGATACCAGTTTCAGCTGGTCTAAATACAGTGGCGTAGAGGTCAGAGGCCATGGACTGAATCAGTGCAATTAGGCATTATGTGGTTGGGGTGTTGGTTTGGCTCCATTCGTATGGGGACACGGCAAATTTAATAACTACGTTTTCATTTGGTCAGACCATATGGACTAAGCCAGGATATGGCTACAGATGAGTGACCTTGAATACGTTTGACCAAGGTAATCTACGATTTACGGTTTTTTGTGATACCTCAGTATCCACGACAAGGTGACACAAAAGCTCAACTGCGCTTGTGCGTGCGGATGTGAACATGTCGTTTGAAATACATAGGTTTATGGAATTTATTTTCAAACGATGCTGTCATCTAATATTTCCACAGGTATGACAGGTAGCTGTGTGTTTGTGCCCCATAGATTACTTGGAACGAACCAGGAAGAATCAACTATTCCATGTCAGCGTTCTTAGGAATTCTAGACAGCTGTATTTTGAACGCTGCTCCTAACGGTGCTATTAGAAAAATAAAATCTAGTCAGTATTTGGAGGCACCTAAAAGCGTTCAAAATATATGTTTTGAGCTTCTTCGAACTGCTTTTTTTGTTACTGTAAAATTAATTGGAGTTGCTCTGCCGAAATTGACATCGTGGGTTCGGGTTGTCGACAGTTGTTGTAACTTGGGGGATGATCATTCAACTCTATATCGGTCGCTTGAAGTTTGTTGACGTAGCTTTAAAGTCGAGGGTTCACTGGCCTCAGTGGCTTGCGGATCGTGTCGGCTCAGCGTCGCGGTTGTAATCCGTGCTCAGGCTGGGTCTCCGACGAATCGGCTGATTGATTTTCTGGAATGATGCCGAGATCAAAGGCTTCCACATGCATTTCTAGACTCAACTCACTCGGTCATCTGGGCAGGATCTGCGTATCTGTCGGCCGGATTCGGTTCGTGTGGCCTATCCA